GATGAGTTGAGATCCAAAGCGGCATATCTCCCTCTCCGCCCCCACGGACCAAACTGGCACATCTCAATCTTGTCGGGAAACCCTGGTGTTGGAGTCCTCGGGAACCCGTTGAATGAGTCCGCGGCAGCATAAGAGTGGCTTGTATGTATTCTTCTGTACTTCGATACAAGGACGATTTCCGCCAAGCCAAAGTGAACCTCCAGAGCTGACAATCGCGGTACCTGAGGGACATTGGCTGAAAGTCTTCTCAGAGCCTTCAATGCCCCCTGATACGAATCATGAGGAACATTTAATGCGAAAACCTTCGGAGCAACCCCTGACCTGTGTGTAGTCAAACCCGTTTCAGGATTTCGGAGATAACTCTCCTCGCTTGGTGATCCTGTTGTCAGGGTAGGCACGTCGCACGTACAGGCTCAATCAGACGAGTCGATATCAATAAATATCAGCTTTTGTGACGATAAGCGAGGCTCATTAACATGGTGGCAGTGGTGATCGTGTAGAAACCAAGTAAAATGGAGAAAATACCCACAAATCTGGCGATGAAGGAACGATCGAAAAGTGAATGGACCCGTTTTCGACAAAAGCTCGAGATCTACATGAGAGCGGCGAAGAGAAACGCCGATGATGATGAGACGAAGACGGCTCTGCTCCTGGCGGCCGGGGGTGACTTGGTGTTAGAGGAGTACAACGCGATAGACTTCCCCGAGCCAACGGCTGCCATCGTTCGACCGGCGGACCACTACGAGACAGTGGTGCGAATTCTGACGGAGAGATTCTCGAAGGGAGAATCGGAGCAATTCAGCGCTTACAAGTTCAGAACCAGAGTGCAAGGAGTGAAAGAGCCCTTCGCAACGTGGCTAACAGATCTGAAGATCCTGGCCAGGGACTGCCATTTCGAGAAACAAGAGGATCGAATGATGCGAGATCAGCTGATTTATGGCATACGAAGTCCGAAGGTCCGCGAGGACTTGTTGAAAATCCAAGACTTGGACTTGCAGCAGACGGTCAACCTCTGTGCCGCAGCAGAAGCGGCAAAGAAACAAGCAGGAGAGTTCGAGAATGATAAAAACGCAAGATCCAGTGCCTGGGAGAACGACATCAAAGACGACGAAATTGAGACCAACGCGGTAATTCCGAGGCGCCGATACACCAACCACAGCGCGCGGAACGCGACCGACGTCAGAAGCAGCCGAAAAGAAAACGGCGGCAGCCTCCAAGCAAGATATAAACAAACCTCGGACATTCGAAAGCCGGTATGCAAATTTTGCGGTGGAAATCACGAAAGGGGAACAACCAACTGCCCGGCGTTCGGAAAAACCTGCAGCAAGTGCAAAAGACCGAACCACTTTGCAAGAGCATGCCGAAGGATTGTATCAATGATAGAAACCTACGACGACGAAGACAGTTTCGACGATGAGACCAATCTGATAATGTCGGTCAGAACCAGCAAGAAACCACTCGTCTACGTTGAATTGAAAATCGCCGAGGGAATGGAAAGCGAACAAAACGTTAAGTTCCTAGTGGATACGGGAGCATGTGCTAACGTCATTCCATACCACCTGATACCAAATGCGGTTGTGAATACCAAGGTGAAGCCAACTCTGAGAGCATATAATGGTCAAGAGATTGACGTCGCTGGAACGGCCACAATTACGGCCAGGACCGCGAGATCGAAGGAAAGTAAAACAATAAAAGCAATCGTTGTGCATGACGGACTCACTCCAGTGATCGGGAGAGAGAGCGCAGAAGCAATGAACCTCATCAAGATCAATTACGAAGCATGCGTTCAGGTTATCAAAGAGAAGTCCGAAGACGATCAAGACGAGGCAGAGCTGATACGGAAATACCCGCAAGTGTTCGATGGACAAGTGGGCAGGCTACCAGGGATCGTCAGGCTACATGTGAGGAACGAAGCTGTACGTACAACAAACGTCTCGTGTCGAGTGCCTATACAGATTCGTGAGAAGCTAAGGACGAAACTAGACGAGTTGGAAGCAAGAGGGGTCATTGCGAGCGTAGATTTTCCGACCGAATGGGTAAATCGACTGTCCATACAAATGAAAAAGAATGGTGACCTCAGGTTGTGTTTAGACCCGAGGCAACTGAACAAATACCTCACAAGAGAGGTATACCACACGTCCGATTTCGATGAAATGATTCCCGAGCTAAACAAAGCGAAGATGTTCAGCAAATTCGATCTCGCAGATGGATTCTGGCACTGCGAGCTTGACCAGGAGAGCAGTCTGCTCACTACCTTCCAAACACCTTTCGGACGATACAGATTCAGACGATTACCGTTCGGTACCAAAGTGTCGTCGGAAATCTTCTACAAGCGATTGAAACAAAGCCTGGAGGGGCTGCACGGTGTTCAGTGTCTGGCAGACGACGTTCTCGTGCTGGGATACGGCGAGTCGAAAGAGGAGGCAAGGCAGGACCATGACCGAAACCTCATACGGTTCTTGCAACGATGTGCGAGGATCGGCATCCGACTCAACAGGAACAAGATGTCGTTAAGACGAGACAGCACGAAGTTCTTTGGATTTGAGGTGTCCACCAAGGGAATATCCATAGACGCAGAAAGACGGCTTGAGTTCGCTAAGATGCCAGAACCCAGGGACGCTCAGACCCTCAAGAGTTTTTTGGGAATGGTATCTCACATCGGGAGATTCATACCGAATCTGGCGCAAAGAATGACACCCCTACGGAAACTTACAAGAGCAAACGAGCCCTGGACATGGGGGGAAGAGCAACAAGCGATTTTTAATGAGATCGTAAGAAGCATCGCAGAAAGTGCTTCGCTGGCATTCTTCGACACCAAAGCGCCCGTGGAAATCGAATGCGACGCCAGCAGGAATGGATTGGGGGCGGTTCTAATACAGAACGAGAAACCCGTCTACTACGCCAGTCGCACGTTGAGCAAAACAGAAGAACGATATGCCCAAATCGAGAAAGAGCTATTGGCCATCGTATTCGCGTTGAAGAGATTCCATTTCTTCGTTTACGGCCAAGAAGTTACAGTCTACACTGACCATAAGCCGCTTGTCCACATTGTAGAGGAAGCGCTCGATGACGTTCCATTGAGGTTGCAGAAACTTTTGATGGCCATGCAACGGTACGCGACAAAATTAGTGTTCAGGCCTGGAAGTCAAATCAAGTATGCAGACGGGCTGTCGCGCTGCCCAGTAAACGGAGGATTCAGGACCGACAACAGTGTAAACGTGGTCCGTATGCTCCCGATGGAAGACATCACCATTAAGAGGATGAAAGAAAAAGCCAGCGGCGACGAAAACTACCAGAAAGCGCTGAGAATAGTCAACCAGGGATGGCCAGAACGGACGAAGGACCTTCCCGGTGAGGTGGCGGAATTGTTCCCCTACCGGAAAGCGATCACTATCGACGACGGCCTACTGCTCAAAGGGGATGTAGTCATTCCCCCGAAGGCAATGAGGAAAGAGTTGATAGAGAAAATATGTGCAGGTCATCTCGCGGCGGAGACCGTTAACCGCCGAGCGCAAACCTGTGTATTCTGGCCGAGAATGAAGTTTGATATCGAAAATCACACGCAGAGATGCAAAGGATGCCAAGAATATCCGGAACCGCAAAGAAAGGAACCCATGACAGCTCATGAGCTGCCCAGACGACCCTGGCAGAAGGTCGGGATGGACAAGGCAGTCCTCGAAGGTGAGGAGTTTCTAGTTCTGGTGTGCTACTACTCAAATCAGATTATGGTACACGACCTCCCGAAAAATCCTAAGAGTGCATCGATCATAGCTGCTCTTAGACGAGTCTTCTCAGAGCACGGGAGCTGCGAAGTGCTAATTACGGATCAAGATCCAGTTTTCGTAGCTCAAGACGTCAGAACATTCCTCGAGGAATGGGCGGTGCACCCGAAGTTCACATCTCCATATCATCATCAGTCCAACGGCAAGGCCGAGGCAGCAGTCAAAATAGTAAAAAAACTGATGGCCAGAGCCAAGCACAGCGGACGACATTGGAGAATGGCGCTCATGGGTTACAATGACACACCGCAGAACAAGCTGGGAAAAGTTTCGCCAGCAGAACTGTTCTATTCGCGAAAACTCAGGTCAAATTTGCCGAGCTTTAACAGACAGCTCGTACCTAAAATGAAACCACATAAAGTAGCTTTGCAAGAAAGACGAAAGCATGTGGAAATCATGAAAGGACAATACGACAGGGGAGCTCGAACCCTCACGGAGCTCGAAGAGGGCGATCAAGTCCGAGTCAAGCCGATACGAAAAGGAGACAGAATATGGAAAAAAGGAATCGTCACGAGAAAATTCGATTGCAAGAGCTTTGAGGTGGAAGTCAATGGACAACGGATCATCAGGAACAGAGTAGACCTCAGAAAACAAGAAAGAAATAATCCGAGAGAGAATTGTTCGGAGAGGAGATCTCGAAACACAGAAGGAGAAGACGACCACAGAACCAGGAATCAAAGCGAACAGATCCCAATACTCGGCGGTGGTCTCGAGGAGTGGATGATCCCGGAAATGGACGGG